TAAAAAAATTATCTAATTGAATGTGAGTTATTCAGATCACCCTGCATGCCTAGTTGGAATAACCTAGGATATTTACTTTCAACTCTGCAATTATTTTATCAGTGTGACTCGTTCTTGCGTTCATCAGTACACTTTTTCGTCGGCCGTAGTCCCCCAGAAATAGTTCTGCAAGCCCGGGGTGCCATTCTGGCAAGCCCTTGGCCACAGTAACCTCGTTTTGTCCCTCACAGGGACTTTGAACATTGTTTAGTTTCAAAACATCTGGCATAACATACAGCTATAGCTTTACCAAACCTTTTAAAGGCCAGTATGCTCTTGGCATTTGTATCGCGACTGTGAACGCGTTGTCATTATAATTAATTAGAAAAATAAACGAATAAAAATGAGATTAGGCCTGTGTGCCTGACAAAATATCTCTTCCTAACTTCATACCTTTGAATGCAAACGCAAGTAGATTGGGCTTTCTAGCGAAGTATTAACCAGGTTTTGGTCGAGTAGGACAATCGCGTTGCTGCCAGTCAAATTTGGAGTCAGCTGATCGTCAAAGGCAGGAACGCCCACCTCGTAGCTAACGGCCTGTTCTCTATCTCCACGTTCGCGCTGATTCAGGCGACGATTGGTAAGAGGACTTGTTGCCACCGTTTCAGAGGATGCATGGCAAGTGGCAGCGCTCGACTCGATGTATCGTTTTCGGAGACATCCCTTGATGTTATTGGAGCGTTTGGAACAAAATTAAGCAATAATTAATTGTTATTTGAGTTTGTGGTGGCGATAGGGGCCTGTGATAATTATTATAGGTGATTGTAGTGCAACGTATCTGTTCGGCGGCCGATCTACGGAGAAGAAAAAAATCTGGGCAGTCGTAGATTATGATCTCAAGGCCAAGACCTCGCTGTTTAGGCAAAGCCTCACATTCTTTTATACAAGGAACGAGGTTTCGCGAATAAAAAAATAATAGACAAGCTTAGATAATTGTTCAATTAGCAAGACAGCATATCACTGTCTTCTAAGCCACGTTTCCAATTTAACTGTTTAATCAAAATTACAGCTTTGCTTGAATAATGCTTTGCTATTTGAAAAGCATGAACTTCACTGTTGGAGTGTGCTATATTAGTTTAATAAGACTACTCAACAACAACGAGGCTTCATAAATTTGGGCGCACTCTCCCTTAGTAGTGCGTCCAATAACATATCCAGTTCAATTATGGTAATTAATGATTGAAAGTTGCAAAACCGGTGTTTACTGGCGTTTAGATTTTTTCCACAGAACGAGTTTCGTAGCCAAATGACATGGAAAAAGTATAAGAGTCGCTGAGTTAAACTTATAAAGAGGAAAAAGGAAATACTTGCCTTAAGGTCGTATATTTGGGAAA